CCTACAGTCGAAGTGTCTGTCGAACGTGTCCGCTGCTTTCGTAAAGCCGAGTTTACGAAGCTTAATAACCTCATTAGTGATTTTGATTGGTCCGCTCTGTACTTGTGTCCCACTTTCTTGTCCGGTTGGATCTGGAAAGCATCCTTTGTTCACAAACGAATTGTCCAGTGTAAAAAACTTAACATCAAGACTTTCTAAAGAAATTTCGAGAAGTTGGTTCTCCATCTTTTCTCTCTCGCTATGTAATAGCCCGGTCAAATTTCTACGTTCTTATCGCTGAATGCTATAGAAATTACCTATCTCGATGCAGGATATGATTTTAACAGGATCCTAAACAGTTTTACACCTTCGTAAACAGTAAGCGTAAAACGTCCGCACATCCATCCTCGGTATCATTTCTCAATACGTCAGCAAACAATGATCAGGCAATTGCCGATCTTTTAGCCCAATGTTTCCAAACAACCTATTCTCATGAAAGCTACTCTCAGTCAGTCGTATCCATACAGTTTACCAAGGTCGAATGGCATCTTCAGCCCCTTGTTAAATGAAAGCTCACTGCTTCATGATCTTCGACTAGTTAAGCCGGTGTTTTCACCAGGTGCCGACGGAGTTCCCGGCTGTGTACTTAGGTACTGTGCCGATGCTCTGTGTAGACCCTTGCTTAAACTATTCACCCTATCCAGTAACTCTTCATGTTTCCCCCCCATCTAGAAGGAATCTTTTATTATTCCGCTCCATAAGAAAGGTAGCAAGTCTGATGCAAATAATTATAGAGGTATATCTAAGTTATCCGCTATTCCTAAAATGTTTTGAAAAAATGTTAACTCCGCATTTGCAACATCTCTGCAAATCACTTATATCTCCGTCCCAGCACGGATTTATAAGTCGACGATCAACAACCTCAAATTCATTAGAGTTTACCTCTTTTATCATTAAAGGCTTTCAAGGTAACTTGCAGACGGATGTCATTTACACTGATTTCAGCAAAGCATTCGATTCTGTAAACCATTCCCTCCTAGCACAAAAACTTGACCTTTTAGGGTTTCCGCCTTATCTTTTGAGATGGATTTCTACCTACCTTCGTTCTAGGTCTCAAAGAGTCCTCTTCAAAAACTCCTTATTTTCACCTGTTAAGGTTACTTCTGGAGTACCACAGGGCAGCCATCTAGGCCCCTACTATTCACACTCTTTATTAATGATCTGCCTTTAGTCTTAACAAACTCTCGAGTACTCTTGTATGCGGATGATGTCAAACTTTGCGTCCAGTATAAGGACATTTCATTTCACTCTCGCTTGCAATCCGATCTCAATAACTTTCAGTCATGTTGTTGTGTAAATATGTTCCACCTAAATGCCTCGAAATGCAAAGTAATGACATTTCATCGCTCCAGCCCCCTTTTGGCTCCTTATAGCCTCTGCGGTGATTCTCTTGAGAGAATTACCTTTGTTGATGTTCTTGGTGTTAAATTAGACCCAAAGTTAAAGTTTTCTGAACACATTTCTACCATGGTAAATAAGGCCATGGGTGTGCTTGGGTAGATAGCCCTGACTTGTTGAGCCGCATAAACTTTACGATTCCTATTAAATCTACTAGAAACTTCATTCCTTTGTTCCTTCCGCTTTGTAGATCGAATTATTCCTTGCACGAACCATTTAGGGTCCTTTGCTCGGACTTCAATTCCCTCTACCACATAATATCCACTACTAATTCCCTTCCTCTTCTTAAATCACTAATACTAACATACCTTTTCCGTAATTAGTTATATTTTTTAGCTATCTTTGCATGTTTAGCTCTTTGAGTTGTTTAGCTCTAATTTTCCTCGAATTTTAGTCTAACACCTATCTTTCCTGCATGCTCGCGATCGGTTAGGTAACACGCGTCGCGCGTCATGCGGCAGCGCCCCTCGGTCGGTTGGGCGGGAGGAGGTCTGCGTTTCTGCTTGGGTTCCGCGCGTAACAGGATCCGGCTTGGTGTCGCATGGGCCATTTGATGGTGCAGTCATTGCATATCAACGTCCACACAATAATTATGATCCGATCTGGTTCAGATTCGACAATCTGGTAGATATGGGCATTTCCTACAATACTGCGTTTTCAGTTTTATCGGATCTTTAAAGTTGTGCCTGCCACAGATGTGATATCACAGCAGTCTGGGTACAAAATTATGTTGCTCTAGCTCTTATAGTCTCTGAGATCTAGGCGCTCATCAAGACTGACAGACAGACAGACGGACAGACAGATATCCACTTTTACCACAAATACAATAGACCCCTTAACTCTTTTTGAGTACGGGTATAAAAAGTGGTACGAAAACCATGGCATAAAACAGCTCGTCTGCTATTTGCAGAAAAGTACAAATTTTGGACAAGTGAATGGGAAAACGTTATCTTCAGTAACGAAAAAAGTTCAACTTGGATGGTCCTGACGGAAAAATTAGGTACTGGAGAGATATACGCCGTGAACGCAAGTCCTGCTATGCTCGCAATTTCGGGGGGTGGCTCGCTTATGGTATGGGCTGCATTTGGACACGCCGGGAGATCCCCTGTGTGTTTTGTAGCATCACGAATGAATTCTCAGATTTACATAAGCCTTATGGACGACGTAGAATTATCGTGTAGCGAAACATACTGGGAGAAAATTTATTTTTCAGCAGGATAACGCTGCAGTCCTCGTATCCAAAGCGACAAAGCAGTTCTTTGAGGACCGAAAAATTGATCTTTTATGGTGGCCTGTCCCGATTTAAACCCAATCAAGAATGATTGGGAAGAATCTCGAGCAAAGTTTATAGCAATGGGCGACAAATTGAAAATTTGACCGAGCTCGAAAAGGCAATTATCGAAGAATGGGCCAAAATAGACGAGAAAACTCTACAAAATTTAGTAATTTCAATGCATAAACGATTGGCTGAAGTCATTTCAAAGCAAGGAGGCAATACCCACTATTAAGTAAGAAAATACATTATTTTCCCTAATTACAAAATTTTTAAAAATTATTTCTAAAGGAGCAAACATAAGGATATACATTTTCCCTGAAAGGATCAGTAATTTAAAAAATTTGCATCTTTCAATTCATTTTTTCACCATACTTACAAATAAAATTAAAAAGAAAAACAAAATAGATATATGTTTTTAAGATTTTATTCAAACAAAATTAAGTGTCCCGATATTTATTTCGACCAGGTATATACCTCGGTATTAAATTTTAACTTTATTTTGTTTTACCAGCTTTGTTCAATATTTCTCATTTAGATAATTTTTCCTGATGAAAAACAATTTAATCTTGACGGCCCAGATGGGTTTCGTCACTATTGGAGAGATTTGCGTAAGAATCCACTTATGTTTTGGAGGCGGATCGGCAATGACTTGGGGAGCCTTTAATGCGTCTGGAACGCTTGATCTGTGCTTCACAAGCTCCAGGATGAACAGTGGAGAATACAAAAACGTATTGGAGGATCGTCTTCTGACATTTTTGGAAAAAAATATTGAAGGAAATCTTGTTTTTATGCAAGATAATGCATCTATTCACAAGAGCAGAGAGACCCAGCGCTTCATAAATGATCACCATATAAATGATTTGGAATGGCCAGCGTGCTCCCCTGACTTAAACCCAATTGAGAACATTTGGGGTATCTTAGCCAAGCGAGTTTACGCCAATAACAATAAATTTGAGAATGTCGAAAGCCTCAAAAGCGAAATTATGGAACTTTTGTACTTTTTTTACCGCTACTTGAAAACGCGAGATGCAATAAGAGATAATAACATCAGAGTTAAAGCAGAATTCATTAAGCTTCCATTCTTCGTACATGACTTTGTTGTATTATGCTTTCCCATTGGGCAGGAGTGTACTTTATGGGGTCGGAAACATTTCATTCTCTGCGTTAGACACATCCACATCCTAAACTCCTCGATTACACTACTCGACAAAACCGAACTTTTTTTTTCCTCAAGGATCCAAACCGACTTTTTTGATAGATATGGGGCTTTAAAATTTTTTAAAGAATTATGGTTTTTTTTTTCTATGGCAGAACTTTTTTTTGAAGAATTTTTGAAGTCTGGTTTTTTTTTTTAAGCTTTTTTCAGAGGTAGCGTTTGTTTTTTTCACATAACTTTAGTATCTTACGTCTGGTTGTAAAGAACTTTGCTATTTTGAAAAGATAATTAAAACAGCCAGAAGTTAAGCCCAAACACTTTGTGATTACAGCTTACTGTCTGGGAAATATAAAGCATTGAAATGCAAAAATGATGATTTTTGTGCTTTATTTTTTCGAAATTTTGACTTTAAAAACTCAGGATAAGTTGAAAAAAAAATTATATCCTGTGTCCTCTATTTTTTTGTGTATAGGTGCGTTTATTTTGCGTCGTTTAAGGTATCGCTCATTAAAATCTATGGAGAGACTTTGGAGCTAAGATTCGTTAACTAAACCTAAAATATGGAAAAAATGAACAAAAAATTCCTTTTGGAAGGTTGCGAGCCCAACTGCCCATTGGGAACAAAGGAACGCGATCAGGTACCAAATGTACAACCCTTTTTCGTTTGCTTTGTTCCCAATTGGCAGTTTGGCCCGCAACCTTCCAAAAGGTATTTTTTGTAGATACTAAAGTTATGTGAAAAAAACAAGCGCTACCTCTGAAAAAAGCTTAAAAAAATACCAGTTTTCAAAAATTTTTCAAAAAAAAGTTCTGCCATAGAAAAAAAAAATATATCATCAAAGCATTTCTAAGCCCCAAATCTTTAATAAAAAGTTGGTTTTGTTCCTTGAGGAAAAATCGTGTTGACCAGTGTTACCAGATATAAAATGAGATTAAATGTTTATTTTGATAAAAAAAAATCAACTATTTTAAGCAAAATAAAAACAATTTTATGACCGAATATATAATTATCGAACCATTAGAATATACTTATTGGGCCATTTGAACAATTAAGTAATTCTTTTGGACTGCCCACGAATATAAAATCATATTAATAATATATGTTGCATTAAAAAATGTATTTATTTATAGATTATAGCATGGTAAACTTTATAAAACCATTGTACCTTGGCACTGAAAGGGAGTTTGCAAATTTATATGCAAATCCAATAAAGAACGGCCAACACAAAGATTCCAGTAAAAAAGATATAACAATAATGAAGCAGCGATCCTTCGTGTTACACAAGAAACTCTCAAAATTTGTTCAGGTAACTACATTTTTAAATTTTATTCAACATTGATTGTCATGTGCTACAGTGATTTACACCTCCTATGAGACCTAGTATATGTTGTAGGACTGATCAAGGAATTCATATGACACATGTTTAATATGTTAACTACACAATCGAAAATAATATCCGGTACTTAATGAGAATAGGGGTATATTTGGTTCGTGTAGATATTTGTTAAATCTATAAGCAAATCTTTTCGACGCCATCAAGTACGTATATTCTTGATCAGCATAAATATTCGAGTAAATATAGCCATGTACGTTTTAATAAGCGGTTAGATCTCGGCAACTATAGGAATGGCATATTTTTTATTACTATTATCTCTTATAAAAAATATGATTATTGGGAAAACTTATTCCACAAAAACTTTCTAACATATTCAACTATCTAAAAAAAAATACGAGAAAAAGGGTTCAAACATGGTTTTAACCTAGGAATATGATTTTAATTCAATTTATAAAAACTATGAATCATATTTGCGTAAAATTATAACCATTTCAAACAGACATTAAAGCACAACATGAACAGAAATTCGCATCAATATATTGTCTATACTTCGCTGAAATATGAGTTTGTCCCGTGCAAATGTCCTGTTTTTTTCGCAAAAATCTTAAAAACGAATTAAAAAATTAGAAAAGTCTTTCTAACAACAAAAACCGAAATGTTTGGTTGGCGTAAATGTTTATTCTTAAAGACGGGACAAAAATAATTGTGTGTGCGCTCGATCGAATTCATTTTACGAATATATTCTAAATTATAAACAATGTTCTTAAGCCTAGCTAACCTACGGTTGCAAAGCAGGCTTTTATTGCGCTTCCGCTTGGCCCTAACCTACTTACAATTGACTTCATACGTAAAACATTGACTACGACGATGACATAACGAAACACGAATAGTTGCCCAAAATCGACCTTATAGCCTATCCCACAGGCCACCATCCATTTCGGGGATGGTCCGTAAGGTTTTGCCGTTCCGAAAATTTCCCAGTTATTCCACCATCTATCTGGGATATTCCTAATTTGGACGTTACTGTACGGTATTTTTTCAATAATTGTCAAATGCAACCATAAATTATTTGACATTCACAACAAAAAATCGGAATTCACTACGAAAATGTAAACAATGACAGGAAAATGGTAAAAAAAAACAACAAAAAAACATCTGATATGTTAGAATTGTCTCAGGCACAAAAACTCGGTTTTTTCCAATTCGTGCCTTGAAGGTGGTTTGATGTGTTTTGCTCGCGATCCGGAAAAAAAAAAGGGAAAGAACAAAACTTTGGTCCAAAATTAAATCCATCAACACGGAATACTAGCCGGTTGTTTGTTTAATCGTGCTTCTTATATAAATATTAAATACATTTGAAGGAGTACAATTTTATTAAAGGATTCAGAAGGTGAGTCTTGTGAACTGTAAGTTTTGGTGAAGCATAGTGTGAAATTCTTTAATAAAATTGTACTCTCCAAAAAATATTTTCATTTTTTATAAATCTGTCATCAAGACTCACCTTGTGAACTGTAAGTTTTGGTGAAGCAGAGTGTGGAAAGTGAGCTGACGCCATGGCGTCGAGCCAGAATTGTGAGTCGATGGAGGATATCTCGTCTGATATGGAAGAGTCATCTGATCTCTCAGCACCGGACAATTCCGGTAAAGCAATTAAGAAAAACGCGATAATTAAAAAGGCAATTTTCAGGGCTCCGCGTATGTACAAAAATGAGTCAGGAAGTAAGATTAAGGTGAGCTCTTCAGACTTAAAAGACATGCTTCATACTGAAGTTGTTCAGAAAAGTGGTGTTCCAGGAGATGTTGAGACAAGGATTAAGCAAGGGAAAATTAATACAAGTGATGACTCAGCAAATCAAAAAAATGGACGGAATATAAGTATGACGTTAGTTTTTTTGGTGAAGCGGCTGTCATATTTAACACTGGTCAGGTTGAAAATATTCAAAATATTAGGGTTAAGAATGGTCTGTTCTACGAAAAAATTAAAGGGTTAAAGCTGCCAGGACTTTGCAATATTGTTGCTCTAGGCATTTCGTCTTACAAGGTATATTTCCAGAATGGAAAGTTTGCAAATGAGGCTGTGAGGAACGTTAATTTAAAAAGCATGAACATATCAGCGTATATACCAGGGGATTATGTAGAAACATATGGAGTTATTAAAAATATCCCGGTTGAAATAACAGATGAAGAAATACTGATGAACATCAAGTCGGACGTTCCTGTTAAGTCGGTGACTAGATTAAGACGCAAGGTAAAATCAGAGACATGGGCTACTGAAGTAATGTGGGAACCCACTCTATCAGTGAAAATTGGTTTTTCAAATGTAGAAATCCCATCTCATATTGTTTTGAATTACTGCAGACTAGAAGTTTCTCATTTTTTACGAAATATTTTACAATGTTTTAACTGTGGACGGATTGGTCACGGTTCACGAACGTGTAAAGCAAAGAAGCGTTGTCTACGTTGTGGTGCGCCGGAGTGCACATCTCCAAATTGTCAGGTGTACAAATGCATTTTATGTAACAGTAATGAACATACGGCTCGTGATAAGAACGTATGTCCAAAATGGGCACTGGAGGAAAAAATAATGAAAGTTATGTGTGTAAAGAAATTGTCGAGGAAAGAAGTGACATCCCAATACTCGATAAATAATCGATTTGATTTATTATCCCAAAATGAAAATGCTTTTCCTGCTCTACCATCGAAAATGCCTGAGACAATAGATAACGAGAAGGAACGTGTGAGTCGCTTCTGGGGACGCGACTCTACTTATACCCGTACTCAGTCAGTATATACATTTTTGAGCATGATTTTTTAGAATTTTAGAATTAAAAAAAAAATTTTACATTTTACATTTTACATTTTTTTTGCTACATTTGTTATCTATCATCTACAATGTCTATTCTACATCTAAGATGTATTTTGTACAAGTACCATTTAGATTCTACATCTCCTCCGCTAGGGGTTGCTCGCGCACTAAACGCGGCAGAGTGTGCGAGCGAGAAGGAAAATGAATTGCGTTGTCGTTGGCGGGAGGGGGAGGGGAAGCAACTGAAAATTAATTTCTTCATTCCGGCTATAATTATGATCCGATCTGATTCAGATTCGGCAATCTGGTAGATATGGGCATTCTCTACGATACTGCGTTTTAGTTTTTAGTTTTATCGTATCTTTAAAACTGTGCCTGCCACAGATTTTCGTCCTTTGTGTGGGCGGAAGGGGGCTGGGCGAAATTTTGAAATACACTTGTAGCAGTGTGATATCACAGGAGTCTGGAAACCAAATTTGGTTTCTCTAGCTCTTATAGTCTCTGAGATCCAGGCGCTCATCAAGACGGACAGACGACATGGCTATATAGACTCGGCTATTGATGCTGATCAAGAATATATATACTTTATGGGGTCGGAAACGTTTCCTTCTCTGCGTTGCACACATCCACTTTTACCACAAATCTAATATACCCCTTAACTCTTTTTTGAGTACGGGTATAAAAACGAGCTTGTAAACAATATCATAAATAGTAACCGATACACCTCAATAGTAAAAAACACCTTAGTTCCCCCACAACAAAATTTCTATCATTTCTCATTACCATCTTATACTCATGACACTTCAGAACATAAATTCCAATACCCAGTCAATGAGGATATAAAGTTTGCTGATATTTGTGCTCAACTTTTTCGCTTAATAACACCATTCATTGATTCGGATGAAGTGTTATGCGAGTCCTTTCAAGATTTAAATGAAAAATTTATAAGAACAGGCAAATCTAGTAGTATTTTTTTTGGGAAAAGTTTGAGTCAGAGCCAGATTTTAAAAACACAATAAACATGTCAGTATTTCAATATAACATTCAATCGCTCAAAGCAAATAAAAATGACCTAGAGTTTCTGCTTAATAATGAAGATTTTGATTTTGCGTGTCTCTTTGAGATCTTTTCCCATGGAGATGATCTTGAGATCTTTTCCCATGGAGATGATCCTACTTTTAGAAACATTGTAAATTTTAAAGCTGCTGAAAAACTTAGAGCTGACAATTATGGAGGTACTTCGGTACTAGTAAAAAATAAAATTCTTTTCAAAAAAATTCCTTTCATTGCCACATCTGACATATCAATTATACAAACAACCAATTTATCCGGAAATCTCACAATAGCTTCAGCCTATTGTGATCCAAATGTACCTCTAGATGATTTTAAATCAGACATTAAAAGACTTTTTGATAGCATGGAAAATCTTCAAGATGTATTCATATGTGGAGATTTTAATGCTCGTAATAGTGTATTCGGTGACAGTATGACCAATTCCAATGGTCGTTTCATAGAAGATGTTTCCTTAAATGCTGGTTTCAAGTGGTTGAATGATGGAAGCTTAACCTTTAAACAGTCTCTAAATATAATGTCGGGTTCAGTTTTGGATTTATCTTTACCAACTCTGATTTGCTTTTTGACTGGCATATCCGTCCGCTAAGGATTGGTGGCAGCCATCATTTTCCTATATCAATTACAATCGAGAATATCAAAATAAAACCAAAGTTCTTTCTGTCTAAAGTAAAGTTATTTTCAAAGCTGAACATTAGAGATTTTCAGAACATAAATGATATAACAAACAAGGTGAAAAATCACATATGAAATGCTAGCATCTCTTTGGAAGAGGTAATACAAAAACTATTGTCTTGTTTTAATGAGTCATATGATAGCTGCCAATTTCCAAATGCGTGGCGTAGCATTAAGATCTGTCCGATTCCAAAATGTAGTAAACCACTAGATGACATCAAAAACTTCAGACCAATATTGCTAATCTCAGTTCTTGCGAAATCTGTAAACGGCATGGTTAAAAATAGATTGTCTGAGTTTGTGGAAAAGAAAAAGTTACTGCCCTTTAGGTGTTACGCTTATAGGAAAAAGAAAAGTGCTTCCATGTGTATAAACGATCTTTTGTCAACCATTCACTGCCTCAAACGGCAAAATAAGA